AGAGGAAGGAGTGAGGGAGAATAGAGGTGAGGGGAGAGAGAGAGGGAGAAGGAGGAATTGATCCGGCTTTTAAAGTTTGGCTTGATTGCAGCAGGAGACAGACTATATGCAAGAATACGTTTGAATTTTTATCAAAAATTATCTTCACAGACTTTGGAACAGGATGCCGATTTTCTTGAATGAATGCTTCGATAAATCTGTCTTGATTTTCAAGTGTATTAGCAAAACTCATTTTCATTTTTATCAGCATCTTAGTTTGGCTCCAGCAAACTCCTTTTTCCCCTTTAAGAGTCACCGGCTGAGCAGCAGTGACTGGCCCGCCGCCCAGAGGGATGTGGAAGTGACAGCCGGTCTGGCGGAACTCTGGCCAAAGACACACTGTAAATTACTATACGTGGTAAACAGCAAAAGTACAAGGAAGTATTCTTCATAATCAGAAAAGCAGAGATGCCCTGAGAAACTTCGATTAAAAAAAAAAAAATTGAACGCAAGGTACCATACAAGTCCTCACATAATAAACCTTGCTTTTTCTGAAAACCAAAGTCAATTCTCTCCACCTCCCCCTCAGAAATGCAATAAAACCTGCGCAGGTTTTTGTTTTAGGAGGAAGATGGAGGGCAGGGCAGGCCCGAGGCTCCCCGGGATTTCCAAGAATTCCTGGGTCAGCTGCTGCCGGTGAGGCAAGGTCTCATTGTTTTGGCAGAAAAGGAGGGGGCAGGGATTCCTTAAAGGATGGAGAAGTTTACTTCTATTTCAGGTCTGGCAATTCCTCTGTCCGTTCAGTAGAGCGCTCTGTTTTCGGAGGCCTGCTTGGAGGTGACTAGATTAACACATGCAAATTTGTACCTAAAAAAACGAGTGGCGGGTCACCTAAGGAGATGCCGCTGGAAGGCCTGTTTCCCTCAGGCTGTAGGGCCTCAGTCCCCCCTTTCAGCAGTTCACACGATCTTGTCTGAAGCTTGGTCAAAAGACAAGATGGGATTCTTGCTGTTAGGCTGCCCCCACCCCGAATACGCACGGCTGAAAGAACCACCACCACCTACCTGCCTTTAGGCAGGATCTTGAGGGCCCAGCGGAATAAGGAAGGTCAGTTGCTTTCCCTTCCCTCCAATCAGTCTTGCGCTTTCCTCATAAACCACACACCGCATTCTCCGGGTCCGTCTCATTTCAAAAAGCACAAAAGACTTTGAACCCCTCAGGGCCTGGCATTCGAACCCTGGTTCTTTCATCTCTGCCCTCGGCCTGGTGTGGAACACGCACTGTATTGTGCTCATTAATTCTGCTGACCAAGGAACGAGCCTGGAGAAAGTTCTGCAAGTTCAAGTCCTACTTCAGGCTCTTATCAGACGCCTGGGAGGAAAACCACAGAGGTCTGGGAAGAAGGCTCTTCAGTCGAACTTCCAGGGAGGACCCCTGTGGTCCTCACTGAGAGGAGAGGTCCTTGGTATCCCTGCGGATTCTTCCGGAGCACAGATCAGGGGCCAATCCTGCAGGTATATGCTGGCTGCCATGGTCTGTAAGATCTCCTCTGTGGCTTATGACTATTCTTGAGTCATTATTATTCTTGTCTTATCCCAAGCAGGCTATGGAATTATACATAATTCTTACTTGAGAAATTGACAGGTTGTTTAAAAAGAAATGCCACTCCCCGCAAAGGGAAAAAAAAAGCCACAGGTTCAAATCAGAATTCCTGATTGATTCCATTCTTTTCTTCTACACCTACCTTATAAAGATGTTAAGGATCCAGGTTTTGTGTAAACTTGCCCCTCATCTAGCCAAAGACACACTGTAAATTACTATACGTGGTAAACAGCAGAAGTACAAGGAAGTATTCCTGATAATCAGAAAAGCAGAGATGCCCTGAAAAACTCTGATTAAAAAAATGATGAAAGCTTTTTTTGAGGAAAAAAGTTATTTATTTATTTATTGGAAGAGTTCCTTGAATTTAAGAAAAATCACACCCAAAACTCACTTTCTTCTTCTGATATATGAAGGTCTGCAGAATAGAAACGCTGCGTGGAAGGTGGTTTCCTCAAATAAGCAAATCCAAACCCAATAATCGAGCAGTCCTGAGAAATCTGATATCAGTTTAATAAGAGACATACATTGACACATAAATGCTCGGTTCATTTTTCAGACAAAGGATATATGGCTTCAGAAAATAGTGGTGTGGTGCCTGCTTTTATGCTAAGCTTCTAAAAGATTCAAATGAACGGAATTTGAGGATGAAAGGGAAATTTTCTAAGGCAGTGGTTCTCAAACTTTAGCCTGCATCAGGATTCCGCCAGAGGCTTTAAATCACAGATTCTGAATCTCACATCCCCCCCTCCCCCATCCTCTCGAGTCTGATTTAGTAGGTCTCGAGTAGCACCCCCGAGGATTTACATTACGAATAAGTTCCTAGGTGATGCTAACATTGCTGGACTGGGGACCATGCTTTTCAGAACCACTGTTCTAGGGAAGTGAAACTCCCCTCTGTATACGTCTGGATGCAGGAGCTTTTTTTTGTGATCATCTTATGCTTCTAGCATTCTTTTCTTAAGCCCTGGAAAAACAGAGCATTCTGACCGCTATTTATTTATTTATTGAAGTAGAGTTGATTTACAGTGCTGTGCCAATCTCTGCTGTACAGCAAAGTGACTCAGTTACACACATACAGACATTCTTTTATATATATATCCTTTTCCATTATGGTTTATCCCAAGAGACCGGATATACTTCCCTGTGTTCTACACTAGGACCTTGTTGTTTATCCATTCTAAACGCAATAGTTTGCATCTATAAACCCCAAACTCCCAGTCCATCCCTCCCCCTCCTCTCCTCCCTCTTGGCAACCACAGGTCTGATCTCTACATCTGGGAGTCTGTTTCTGTTTTGTAGATAGGTTCAGTTGTGCCATATTTTAGATTCCACATATAAGTGATATCATATGGTATTTGTCTTTCTCTTTGTCACTTACTTCACTTAGTATGATAATCTCTAGTTGCATCCATATTGCTGCAAATGGTATTATTTTGTTTTTTTTATGGCTGAGTACTATTCCATTGTATACATGTACCACATCTTCTTTATCCATTCATCTGTCAATGGACATTTAGGTTGTTTCCAGGAGGCATAACTCTCCCAGACTTCAGACAATACTACAAAGCTACACTAATCAAAACAGAGTGGTATTGGTACAAAAACAAACGTACAGATCAGTGGAACAGTATGGAGAGCCCAGAAACAAACCCACACACCTACAGTCAATTAATCTTCGACAAAGGACGCAAGAATATAAAATGGGAAAAGGCAGTCTCTTCAGCAAGTGGTGCTAGGAAGGTTGGACAGCTGCATGTAAATCAATGAAGTTAGAACACACCCTCACACCATACACAAAAATAAACTCAAAATGGCTTAAAGACTTAAATATAAGACATGACACTATAAAACTCCTAGGAGAGAACACAGGCAAAACATTTTCTGACATAAATCGTACCAATGTTTTCTTAGCTCAGTCTCCCAAAGCAACAGAAATAAAAACGAAGGTAAACAAGTGGGACCTAATCAAACTTACAAGCTTTTGCACAGCAAAGGAAACCATAAAAGAAAAAAATGAAAAGACAACCTATGGAATGGGAGAAAATATCTGCAAATGATGCGACTGACAAGAGCTTAATCTCCAAAATATACAAATAGCTCATACAACTCAACAACAGTAAAAACAAACAACTCAATTGAAAAATGAGCAGAAGACCTTAATAGATATTTCTCCAAAGAAGTAACAGAGACAGCCAGTAGGCACATGAAAAGATGCTCAACATCACTAATTATTAGAGGATGCAAATCAAAACTATAATGAGGTACCACCCCACACGGGTCAGAGTGCCCATCACCAATAAATCTACAAATAACAAATGCTAGAGAGGATGTGGAGAAAAGGGAACCCTCCTACACTGTTGGTGGGAACGTACGTCGGTGCAGCCACTATGGAAAACAGTACGGAGCTTCCTCAGAAAACTAAAAATGGAATTACCATATGATCCGGCAATCCCACTCTTGGGCATATATCCGGACAAAGCTATAATTCAAAGAGAAACATGCACCCCTATGTTCATAGCAGCACTATTCACAACAGCCAAGATGTGGAACTGACCGGTCAACCTAACTGACCGCTCTGTAATCTTGATGACTTGACCATTTTGGAATCTTGATTTTGGCTTCTACTAACCAAACCAGCAAAGATCCTCTGTTCCTGGTCACCCGAAAAGGCCTGGGAGAGGTGAGTGGTTTATTCCCTTTCTGCCAAAGGTGGCGACTCTGGTTGTTCCCAGGCCCTTTAGGAAACACCCTTCCCCTCGGACAAGCAGCCTCCCTTGGTGCTTCCTACGTTTGAGTGAGCACTTCTGCTTGCTTTTACAACATCAAGGGAATAACATACAATTTGAGAAGAGAGTTTTAAATCAGCATCTCAAATTAGGCAGAGAATATCAATCAAGGTTCTCTTTAAGCTTCTCTCCTTTTTATAACTCAAGGATTGATGCCCCTTTCTTGGTACCAAACGGGACCATCCCTCTGATTACAGGTTAGGAACTAAAATTGATTGGAAAGCAGTCTAATTCTCCAGCACATTGCTTCAGAGGCTAGAAAGCTTCTTTAGGGATTAAACGTTTCCCATGTAAGAAGTACACTGACTGAAACCAAATTTTATCTGTATTTCAGCATCAGAGGTGGCTGCCACACTGTGGAAAAGGATTTTTATGGGAACAGGCAAATGTCCCTGAAAGTAAGTGTGGCCCCAGACCCACATACAGAGAAACAACTGGAACAACTTAAATCATTATGTTCCCAAGAAGGAATTTCAAGTTCTATTAATACAAGGCAGGGTCAGTCGAAGATGAAAGTTCAGTTTAACTCAAATAAAAGTGAGTTATGTGGCCATTTCTCAATGTGTATGCCCCATCTAAGATCAGGAAGATCATTAAGGTATCTCACAGGGATGTGGCAGTTACCCGCGTTACCTGATTCATCAACTCTCAGTTTTTTAGTAGGGCTGTCACAGTCCTCATCATCCGACATCTCCATCTCTTCTTCTCGGCGGATGCCCATAAGCTGCTCGCTCTGAGCGTTCCGGAGCTCCTGGAAGCAGAGGACCCACGGGCGTCAGGGTCGGCGACACATGACCCACCTTTCCCAGTGGTCTCTCCGTGTGTTATGACTGACATAGGAATGTCTTCACCTCCCAAACACTGCTCCACCTAATCGAGAGTGAAGTTCTGAGGGGTCTGGGGTGTGGACCAATCGAGGGATTCGGTATCAGACTTGGGAGAAATTCCTGATCACCAATGGTGAGTCAAGGGCTCTTCGGCAAGTTATTTAATCTCTGAATTTCCTCATTTGTAAAAAGGGGGACAACAACGTCCAACTGGTAGGGCTGTTGTGAGGCTCCCATAGAAATGCCTATTACCAGAACTGGAACGTAGGGGCGGCTAGGAATGTGAGCAAGAGAATTTTTTTTAAAAGGCCGGTCTACCACTGACCCACTGTGTCACTTCAGGGATGTTTCTTCATCTTTCTTAGTGTCAATTCACTCACTGAGATAGTGTGACAAGGAGAGTTTTGAGGATAAAATAGTTAATGCACGTGAGATACTTAGCATCATGTGAGAGACTTGGTTCATTAAGTTGAAAATGTTGACCACTGTTATTACTCATGCAAAATAGTGTCCCTGCATGTTTATGTGCCCATGTGTGATCACACACACACACATACACACACACACACACACACACACACACACACACTTCAGATATCCAAATGGTGAAATTCAAATGATGTCGGAGGACAAAATGAAAACAGATGCCTTCTTTGTTGGTGTTTTACATTATCACGTGGGGTTTATTGTTTATGTTGTAATGGTTGTTTTAGCATCCCTTTAAGATCTAAGGGTCACTTCTTTCTCCACTTCCTAGAAAAGTGACTGCAATCAAGGCATTTAATTTCCTGAGCCTTTGTCTACTCACACAAAAATAGGGTAGTAGTAATACAAGACTGTTTGACTGCAAGAGTATATGTGAAAACTCACTGTAAAAAGTAAAGAATTACACAATAAATTGTTTACTACTGTGCTTAAAAATCAGGACACTAATTGCTTACATTAAATAATTATATTATTATTTTGGATCAAGCTGTAAATTATATATTTGCAAATCCTTATCCATTCTGTTCTTTTATATGTTCTGTCCCCAAAACAACAGAAAAAAGCGGGGTGGGGTGGAAAGAGCTGCATTGTTGTTTTTCTCCCCATTTAAATTGGAGTCTAAAAAAAAAGTCAAACAGTTAAAATAATTTCACTTTACAATAAATCTATGAATAAGAATAAAACTAAATTACAACACCTAATGTATTAATGGCATGACTTTAAACACAGTTTAACGTGCTCATTCGATGGATGGATGCGTCTATATTATTGTTATAGGTGCTCTCAACCCTCTTCTCTCCTTAGCACACAGATTTTAACTGTAGCACGATGGGAAGGGGATTCTGTATTGCTGACCACATTTGCATGGTCAGCTCTGAACCCTGGGAACCACAATTGCAGAGACAAAGACAGGGAAGTCACCAAAGACAGGGAAAGGGGGGAGGGCAGAAGGCAAGGTCCCTGGGACAGGGCCACCCATCACAGGGCAGTCCTGAGAGGCACCAGGATGACAGGCAGTGTCCCCCCACTTGACCATGCCACCCTGTAGAAAGAGGTGCCAATTCCGCCTTAAGTAACACCATCGGGTCTTGGAGGCGGATGTCACGTGTGATTAGTGGGGAAGTTTTTAGGTTGTGGACAACTAATCTTTCTACCGACAAAGAGGCCAGTTCCCGAGGAGGTGGCCTGAAAATACTTGAAGCAAAGAAACTTCAGGTGGAAAGAATAAACGAGGCTAAAAGGGCCTGTTTAGTTCCTACAGTTAATGACAAACTGTCATACATTAGCTGTTCTCGTGGGGAAGGGTGGCAGAAAGGAAAAGATTGGAGGAAAAAAAAAAAAAGCTGAGGCTGTTTCCACAGCGTGCCTCTGGTTCAGCAGTAAATCACGTGGACATGCTAATAAATCTGTAAAGGTGCTGCAGGTAATTAACAGACGCTGTTCACAGGAACGCGGAAAAATCAAGCCAATTATCAAGCTCATATGCAACTGAGAAATCATCCACAACGTTAAATTGCCAACTGGTATTTAATCAATCGGGCAACACGTAGGAGAGAAAATCAAAGGTAATTTAGAATTCTATTTCCTCCTATATCAGAAGAGGTGGTGGTGGGAGTGGCAGGGAGACACAAAGACCCTTTACAGAAGCACCTTTCTGGGCTGTGTCCCTTTCTACCTCCCAGTAGGGAGCAAAGCAAGCAGGCTTCCTTGGGACAAGGCTGGAAGCCTTCGCGTGTCCCGTTCAGCAAGGGAGGGGATGGCCCTGCAAGGGGGGAGGCAGGGCTGGGGGAACTGGATACGACGTGGCAGGAAGCGTGATTTAGATCAGTAACGGACAGTTGCCGCCACTCCCAGATTAACGACAGTCTTCTTTATGCCCAGGTTTATTCAGCATCATGCCACCTGCCCTTCTCTTAATGTTTCTTTTAATCATGTCTGGTTTTACGTGAAGCCAAAAGAAAAAATAAATAAACAATTCACAGGCAGATCATTCCCAAATCTGAATCATAGTTTATGGATTCCAATTAGTGTTTCAGAACCCTCAATTCATGTATTTCATCATTGATTTTCGGGACTCTTTCCTCATGAAAATCAACCTTGACATGGGGCTCAAGTCAGTGTCTGGGAGAGCACTGGGTAAGCATCCTTTGGTTTTCTGGCCCCCCGAAGAATAAAAGAGAAATCCCGCCTCGGTATTTGTGAACAAAATAAAAAATGTCCTTCTTAATAATAAACTGCACTAGCCTTTTAAGTGTCCCATTATTGCACAGTCATTCAGTACTCACCATAATAACAGTGATAATAAAGAATTCACTTGGTATGCATATGGATGCTACATCAAGTGCCATTGGTATTCAACTGTAATTTAGCATTAGTTAATGGGCACTTAAAATGCTCCCCAAATGATTGATACTGCAGTACTCTGTGGTTCCTCAAACTCTACATAAAACACTTATTTTACAAGTGTGAGCCAAAATCATTAAATTAATAAACCTTACCTTCTATAAGTTTGGGATTTGGAAAGAGGGGATTATCATTTAGAGAACTTTAATATTAACACGCTAGAGACGGAGAGGCATCCAAATGAAAAACATTCTCTCGTTAAAAAAAAAAAAAAGGAAGAAGCAAACAAAGACAGTATACTTACTTTTAAATTACAGGTTCAAAGCGTACACTACACTGAGGAGTTAAAAATAACAGCTGGACCACCAATGACTAATGACACAATCTGGTCCTTCTAGGTGGCAGCGAAGGTGAAGCTCTGAACTCTTGCCTTGGGGTAGATACTCACACTTCACACATGCATTGATGCAGAAGGGTGGACAGGGCTAGCCTGGACATTCACCTCCCTGAGGAAATCTGCTCTGGGGAGAGGTCTGATAGGACCTGCTGGCTAGCACAGGGGACGAAGGCATTGCTTAGGATGAGAAGATGTGGATGAAAGGCATACTTGCCATTTCTAGCCAAAGAGCAAACCGTCACCATCATGCTGTAGAACACTGAAAAGAAACTCAGTAATTTAAAAACTAGTTTTCTAGTTTACGTTACACTTTTTCTTTTCCTTGTTTTGCACAGTGATTAGGCAAAGTGTCTTAGCTTATTTCTGAGCTCTTTACCACGAATGGGAGAGATGCTTTTCTCCCTTTGCAGGGGAGACAAGCACTCTGTCCTCTAAGCATTAAGTCAGCTGCTTTTCTGGATAAGGAACAAATCTGAGCTGGATCTGGAGCTGACAGTGAGGGGCAGGATGCCCGCCCACTGTAACAAAAACCATCATGGCTGCAGCCACACTATTCCCTGCCAATCCAGCTGTGTGACGGTGGTTAGAAAAGTAATAATAAAATCACCAACCTCAGAATGCTTTCGCCAAATGTCTATGTTCTTGCGCTGAGCTTTCGAGAAATGGTCCCAAGCTTTTTGTCTGGTAGAAGCGTTGAAAACGGCCACAATCTGCTCAACTTTGGTGAACAAGGAAGTCAAACAAGACAAGTAATTTATGTTGTGATCACTATAGGGAAGCAAAGCAAAGACACTAGGAGTCTATGGATGATGTCGCAGCAGAAATAACATCATCAATATCCATCCCATTTGTGCCTTTTTGTACTTACATGGCAGCAAGGTTGGGGAGGTCTCCCTTCATGTCTGTGTCCATAACTTTAGGTTAAAACAAACTCTAAATATGACTGGGAGAAGTTCATGGACATCTGCTTCCAAGCATTTGTTACCTCTTGTCTAAAAAAATGACTTGGTACATCTATACACCTAGATCTATAGATATACAGGCACTGGTGTTGACACACAAATATAGATATACGGATCAAGTAATGCCTGGATTGGAGCCTTAGAAGTGAAGCCCGGGGGGAGTGGCTGAATGAGGAAGAACCAAACACATCTCTTTTCAGCTTTTGGTCTCCATCTCAAGGACCCCAGTGCAGCCCGCTGAAGACATTACCGTGTCCAAGTTCCAAGTTGGGGCAATGAGTAGTTTGTGTCATATCTCCCTTCAGTCTCAAGGCCATTTTTACCCCTTGGTCCCCTTTTCTCCCCCGTTGCACCCATTATAGCCAGCCCTCCAGCCCTCTGGCAGAAAATGGGAGCCACTGCCTTCACCTCAAGACAGACCAAGGCTCACCCAACCAGCAGCACCGCATGCAGATCTTATTTCAACACCATATGGCGTCCTTCGTAGTTCATCATGGCCACATACTCCATTTTAACTTTCATAAGGCTCTCCTCCCTCTGGCTCCCGACACTCTGGAAGTCCTAACTCTAACACTTTGACTTAATTTAGCACTTCTGTGGCTTCCAGGGGAGGCGCTACGTCCGTGATCAACGTTGAAGGGTGGTGAACAAACGTAGACAGGGAAAGGGATGGGCTCTTAGTAGTGGATGTGAGAGGCGGGGGTCAACCAACTGCAGATTCAATCTTGCTTAAGCAGTTATTGATCTAGTAAGCACGGGATTAAGGAAATTACAGCACTGAATGACCCGTATGATTAAACCTGAACTCCTAAATATTTAGTTAGGAAGGCACAGCCAAAATGAGCTTCTTAGGGGTGCTAATGCTCTACTTAACAGAAATCTTTCTAAAGTGATTCCCAAGGCTCTATTCTAAAAAAGGACATCAAAGCTCTTCCACATCTTCCAGGTGTCCAAGGAATGTCAAAGAGTAATAGAAGAATCCCCACAGAAGAGCAACACCTGGTGCCCCCATTTCAAACACTGGAAATAAGCAAGTGTGTGATGGAGGAAAGGAAGAAAGCAGATTCCCTTCACTTACTACATGGTAAATATCTTCTAAGGCTAAATAAGCAACTACTTCTCAGTCTATGGGTGATTTTCGCAGGGGTTTTACATGGACCGTCTTCTGACTCAAGAAGATCGCAACTCCAAATCTCCTTATTTATCAAACTTGATCATCGTGTCTCCTGATGAATTTGCTGCGCTCGCCTGTAACAGGGGGATTTAAGCTAAGCTCGCGCTGCCCTTGAGCGCGTGCAGTTCCCCTCTCCTGCCTCCCCTGGAGGAAGTAACGCTGCCAGACTAGTCACAATGAGCTGCTCCCAGGGCTGACTTTCCCCTGACCACCGACCCCCCAGGGCTCTGCTTGGATGCACTGCCCGTGGCTGGCCGAGGAGAACTGGTTCAGCCCCACTGCCTGGGCTTCCCATGGCTTTGCCTGCAGGGAGGCTGGGATCATCTGGGGCCTCCAGATGCCTGCTGCACGGGCAGTACAGAGCACTCCGCCCAGAATGCCCACGGTGGAATCCACTGCCTGATGAGACTATCCGGCGGGGGTGGTGACCACGGGATTGTTAAAGAGCAACGGGTCTCATTGCTTTTGATAGTAGACCTCTCTGATCAGCGTCATTTAGAAGAGTAACAACTGTGGTGTCCTGACACCAGGCCTGAGGAGAGAGGACAGGAAAGGTCGAGGCTGAGTTATCTGGGTGATAGAAGTCAAAATTCTGCCATCAACTGGAGAAGGCTGTTAATAAAGGGGATACACTAAAGAGAAAATTACGTGGTCATACATGCGTGTGTGGAGTGGGAGGAAGGTAAGAGAGACCAGTAATGCACTTGGAGGAGTACAGAAGGGAAGGTACTTAGAAGAAAGACTCTGCACAGGTTCAAGGGTAAAAATGGATCCCCTAATATCTACTCAAGGCATGTACTCCTGCAGATATTCCCTGTTTGAGGATAAATGCCTCAGGTTTTTTTTTTTT